CTAAAATATTAATTACCATTAATTAACTTTTACTTAAGGATTATGAATGATAATTGTATCTATCAAGACAATTCCCTGATTATTTTACTTATTATATTGTCTTAGTATATTTGTTGTTATTTACTGATGCAATAGATGGTATTTCATCTAGAGAATGGACTGAATACCTTAACTGCCTGGACTAAAAACCATTAATATGATTGTAAGGTTAGCATTTAAGTAAAAACTTATTTTGATGCTTAATATAAAGATGCAAGTTTGTAACTGAAAATTTTCGTATTGGTTGTTTAGTAGTAATGTTACTACGGACTGTCAACATTACACATATAGTTATGACTACTTTCTCTAGCTCTTGCGTTTGTTTTAATTTTGTTTTCTAAGTAATCACAGTTTACCTTGCACGTTAACTTGTAAAAATAGCTACGGTCTTTTAAAAAACCACTTTTTAATCTGCAAACTACCTAAAACGGTTCATAGATTCTATTTTCTTTGCATGTTGACAAGCAAAAGTGAAGGAGTACACAATGACCTTCAGCATTTTCACACCCTTTTATTTTTCGCCCCATTCGCTACATGTCATCACAATGAAAGTTTCTGCATTAACAACTGAAAATATAAATCTAATGAAATACAAAAACTTAGTATTTAACGAAAGTTTAAAATTTACGCATCAAATAATTAGATATGATTTATATTATATAACAATGTTTATAACAACTATAACATCTCATAATTCCTCTCAGAAATTATTAATTAAATTGTAAGTCTTTTACTTAAAAAGTATGTAAGGTAAGAAGCGAGTGGTTATTTTTTAGCTATTTTAAAACAAACATTATTTGTATGTAATTATTGCGTAATAAAATATAATTATTCATTCAAATTTGAGTGGATGGAAGAAACATGTGGGTACGATGGCGCGCGTAATTTTCACAAGCACCTGATTAAATTTCAAGGTCATGTAAACTTGCATAGTGAACGATGATTGGAACATTTGGTGTAATTCTCGATTGTAAAGTACTACTTGATCGGTAATCGGAGAAAAGATATTCGCTTCCAGTAAAAAGGATTTCAACCATTTTCACCCTCTCTTATACGGTTAGTAAGTCAGTTTTCGGTAACTGCAAGTTTAATTTTTTAAATTCAGAATTACAGTAGCAATCTTTTGATACTTTTGTATATTCGGTAAGATTTGAGTTGGCTAATGTTACTGTAAATGGCAGTTTTTTTACTTATAAAAACAAAACGAAATTGCAATCGAAAAAGTAATCTTTGAATTCATTCCAACTTTTAACTTGAATGATTTTCAAGATCTTTCATTTATATCCAATGCGTAATCACAAAAAGTTTTTTAGTGGTTTCATTCAGTCCATTTAATGAAATATTAGATTTACTTTTTTAAATCTCTGCCTTAGATAAATTAGAGCTTAGCAGTTTTTATTACCAGCAAAGTTTGTTTACTCAAATTTTGAACTATTTTAAATTACTCTGTCAACATTTTTGAAGCTTTAAATTAAAATTTGCTGGTAATTTAAAATGCAAAACTTGTAAACAAACTTTATTTCCATATTGCTTTCTCTTTTACGTCAAAAGAAAAAAAATGTGAAAGCTAACTTCATGAACTGTGAGGAGTTCTTGACTTCACTCCACTTCACTTCACTTTACTCTTACTTAATCAACTACATATTTCATTACAATCGTAACTCCTTGTGTTGAATCTATTGAAAAATAAAAAAAGAGTGTCAAAACTGTGGTAATGAATTTTCAAGTTTTGAAGTGCACTGGAGTGAATTTTATTCAGAAAACCAATGAAAGTAAAATTGTAAGATAGAACTCATTTCACTGAGCACGCATTTACATCGTCGATGTATCGCTCATGACATTTCAGATAATTTTATATCTATTAATGATTGATTAATTTAAAGTTCAATAAATTATTTTGCAAATTAATAACCATTGTATACAAATTAAGGTCAGCCTTACTACCTCGAAATATGCTATAACAATGAATTCCATACGCGACAATATGTTCTCACGTAGTTTCGGACTTCAGGACAAATTTGTAAATTTGACGTTTGGTCATAAAAAGATCATAATAGTTTATCGCTGGATCACGCTAACTTCAGCATTTATGCTGTGTAAAAAGAGAAGCACATTCCTTTTTTCCAACAGACTGAACAAAATATTCAGGTTATTATCAATGGAGTAACAAGACAGATATCAAGTACCAGACTTCAAAAAAGGAAAAAATAGACAAATTCGCTAAAAATAAGAATTTGCAAACCAGTTACACGCAAATAATTAACGGTGATTAGCAATCATATTTAATTACAACCAACAATTTATTATTCACATTTTTTGAATACACACATTTTATGTTAAAACAGTACACATACACTTCATATAGAATCAGTGAATGCTTACTTCTCGGAAGCTAAAATCAGCGTACTGCACAGATAACGCTTGATGCTTCCATTAATCGTTCTTTCTTACTTTTTATACATTTTGCTAGACCTGTTAATATAGAGCGTCAAATTTTACTCTAACGCAAAAATTTCAAGCTCATCTTTCAAAGTTGCTGAGTTTAGGAGTAAGTTAGTAGTAGGGTTATCATAATAGCAGTTCTTCTAAACTTGATTTACTCAACTTGGGTATTTTTGGTTATACATTACAGTATAGAATTTGTAGTTGTTGATTGGTTTTAATGTTATTCATCACTGTGACGACAACTATTAGAACCTCAATAAAGCAAAATATATAAAAAGCAAAAACACGACTTTGCATCTATTACGCTTATCATAAGCCACGTCAATTACTTGTATTCTAGCTTCTCAATAAAAGTCCACTGCACTTTTTCACCATTTCTAAATGGTGAATCTTACAAAATTACAAAATTGCCAGAGATGAAATCATCTGAATGCAATTTTCTCGCTCTGCTCAAATATTTAAAAACAGTGCAGCACTTCATTTCAGTATGTAATAATCTTTGAAATCGACATTCAATCTTTTGAATTTGAATTAAATGTCTAGTATCAAAGGTTTCTGAAAGTATCTTTTGAATTAAATCACCACCTTTTCGTTTTGTTACTAAGTAAGGGCTAGATGACTGCAAAGTATACCTTCATGAATTCAATTTCTTTCTGCTGTACTTGCTGATAACGAGGAACTGTTTTCATATTTCTTTAGCAATATTTAAATTTTAAAAACTAAGTATTATTTGTTTGATATTTGCTTCTACTTATCCATAAACATTCTCAATTATTTGATTAATCACACTTTTTTTGTTGTTGAAAAAACACTTTGCATAAGAAGTTAACTACTGAAATATTTAAACAAATGAAATCAAAAGCAATGCATTGTGATGCTGCTCATTTCTGAATATGACAAATATTTAAAAGAATAGTTACCAATAAGCAACAAGTGATTGGGTAATCTAAACAAGCAATAAAATGTTTAGTCATCTTAGAAGCTAGAATCCAAATTCTTCCAACAAACACATTACCCAAATGATTATATTTGTCAACATTTGAATAGGTCTTTAATTTATCTCTACACTCAACCTGATCATACTTACCTCAGATGATGTGCTACTTCCATTATACGTATTGTTCAGAGACATGTATACATGGCTGGACATACCGTAAACCTCCCTTTTGTTCAAGCAACACCGTAATCAAAAAGTATAACCATTCTTCCAAACAAGTTGCTACCGGTCCGTCAGTTTTTTCTGAGGGCAGATGCAAGTGAAACCACACTACCTAAGAAACGAATTGAGATCCATGTGAAAGACATTGAGTGCGGAAAATTTAACTGTAAACTTCGCATGAACAAGAGGTGAACTATTTTAAATGTTCCAATCCGGTATGTACATCATTCTTCAAAGTACATACTTCAACTGCGTCTATTCTAAGCAATAATCGTTTAATATGTCAGAAGAGAACAAATGTGCGATTTTGCAGCTCAAATAAATTTCATACTATGAACATTATATGCAAACATCTGCTCAGACATAAAGCGAAATACCATTATAATCAACACAAGCAAAGATATTGTACTCCAAAACAGGAATGTTAAAAAACAATTGTGAATTAAAGCGTGTTAGTAGCCTACACTCTGTGAAACACATACACTAGTAACTGTTAAAGTAGTACACAAGCTGATTACTCCACCACTTCGTCTTCAACTAATGGGAAATAGATCTAAAGAACTAATTACCTATGTAGAAATAAGAACAGAACTACACTCCAATTATTCATGACTCACAATAATCATTATTTTCATTACTTATGAAAAACAGAATTTATGTCAAATTCAAAATATGTAATTAAGTCAGTAAGAACAGTAAGATGAAATGAAAACCAAACCTCTGCTTCTCAGTTTACAAAAAAGTGAAGGTTTCCGAAAATCAAAAAATTTTACAACATGGAAACTTGACATGACTTGTTTAATATGAGGTGAATAAACAAAGCAGATATAAAAACGATTCATAAATACCAACAAGTATCGTAATTAGCAATCGACAAAATTAAGCGTATTATTCATCATGAAATCATTACACCTATACCATTCAATTACAATATTTAAAACATCACAAATAGAAATTTGCATTATAGCAAATACGAATGTAAAAATTGCATGGTGAGAAAAACAAAAAGAGAAAAGAGCGCCAACTAATTAAGTGTAAATTATCTGCAAGACTTTACTGATATGTAACACCTCATCAAACATTTCTAACAAGCTACGAGCAAATAAATGATTAGAAGTTTAATTCCTGTTTTATGTCTACATATTCATCAAAACGTAAAAGGCTCAATATAAGGCATGACTGAACTATGTCAATGAACAATTAAATGCACTATGAAAATTAATAAAAATATTTGAGATCTGACACTGAAGTCTATTTTAACAGCATACTTTGTGTCATTCTGACACTCTATATACAAATGATTCGGGAAACACAAAGAATCAAGAAGTCAATAACAGTCTTTAATACACCAATAATCTTAACTCTGACTTATAAAAGGCGTGCTATGAGCTGTAGGAACTGGTACTGGAGAAGCATTCTTCTGCTGTTGCACAGGTGATGGTGGTGGCGAAGACGCCTTGTTGTTGTTGTCTGGACTGCTGCTTGCGTTAGTAACCGCCGTAGGAAGAGGATTTGTTGCTGCTGTAGACACTCTGGTTTGCTGTGAGCTTTTTGATGCCACACTAGTAGAGATAGCTGCGGGAGCTGAAGTTGTCGCAGCGACACTTGTGACTTGAATCAATGATGACATACTATGAGATGAAGATCCATTGGTTTGAGAAACAACAGAAGTGGTGCTGACAGCTGCAAGCGCAGTAACTGGAGGTGATGACTGCATCTGCAGCTGCTGCATAAAATTTGCCAGAGTAGAATTTCTGCAAAAACTTGCACTTCTTCAGTTTTTAACTAACTGATAAAGGAACTTTTTTTACAGCATTCATTTTGCTGCTAAATAGATGGACTGAAAAAGTTACTCAAAATGCAAAAGATAATTACATAGCTTGTGATGATAAAATTGACAAATTATTTGAGCCTCTACCATGTAAGGATACTAAAATGACTTATACTAGCATCTATGATCAGAACAGAGTAAAAATGATATTAAAGCAAACATGAAGTCATTAATAGAACCTTAAAAATGCTACTGCATCAGGCACTGTGGGCATACCACGTCCTGAAAGAATTTGCTTAATTGGTTGTGCAGCAATTTTGGGATCCATAAATAATGGAGAATGCATTTGGGCTGGTGTACTGAACCCACAAAGTTTGCCATCCATACACATTTGAGATAGCTAAAAGAGATTCGACAAGTTACAGAAAGTGGCAAACTATCATTAGTTACAAAACCGTTGTAGTATGCAAACAAATTCCTAATTTAGAAAAGAATTACCTTACTAGTCATGCCATTCAAAGCATAACTTTTTACTAATGCTTCGTAATTGGTTTTCATCTCAACTGGACGTGGCTGTATTGGTCTTGGATGGCATATCGTTGTTGAAGTGGTTGTTGTGCATACTGGCGAAGAAATTGTTGTAATTGCTGCGGTATTTTCGGTGATTTTCGAAATAGTATGCAATTTATTAAGACTTTTTTCTTTGATCGGAGTGCTCTCACCTTCTACTTTGACTGATCCAACTTCTTTTTTAATAATATCACTATCTGCTGCCTTCTCAGGTTGCAAAGACACATCCTTACTTTCAGATTTATTGACGCTTAAATCGAATGATTCAGTTTTCAAAACAGGACTTGTCGACGACTTTTCAGCAGTTGTTGGCTTTGCTTGAGATGCAGAGGAAGTTTCCGTTGATTGAGTTGGGGAATCAATAATTTGTTGCAGTCTAAAAAATACTTGTCAGATTAAAAATAATTTACCCTTGAAAATGGCACTTGTCACTTTTATCCAACAAGGTAACAAAATTCATACTTATTATCGAAAGATGAGGACATTAATTTTGCTTTCTTCAGTGGAGGTGAATCCTCATTAGATAATGCTTTGGTTGCTTTAGCTATACGACTACTACTTGTTGATTTCTTGGAAACTATAGACTCCGTTCGCACTAATGGAGGAGGGCCTTTTGCAAGAGGTGAAACACCAGTCATGCGTTGCACGGGTACTGGAGGGGTTGCTTGCTTCTTCGTTGGTACATTACATTTTCTTTTTTTCCTACAGTTGAGAGTATTATTACAATGTTCAGGTGGTTAAAAACAAAAAACACAAAAAAAAATTTTTAGGAACGATTTTCTAGATTATTATACCATTAGTTGTGACTAACAGCTATATGATTTACAACAAACTCACTGTTAGCTCAGATACCACTGATGTATACTAATATATGCAAGAAATGAATAAATGAAAATGGATTTAACCTGGATGTTGGGTACACTTCAGTGGTAATAATAGGTTGATGATTAGATCCACCTTCCATCATGGCAGTATTAAGAGAAACAGTCAATGCTGGTAACTGAATAGCAGTTTCGATTGCAATTGTTGGAGCACTTGCTTGCGAGATGGGTTCTTCAGCAACAAGTTCCGGCATGAATTCCATGTCAAGAACTGGTGGCTTTTCCTCTTCCAAAGGTCGCTAAAAATCATGTGATCATGACATTGATGTTACTGATAATTTCACCCTCTAACCAAAAAATACTTGATCTTAATGATCACATCTTAAATGCGAGGGCGAAATTACTTTTGTGCTAAATTCACAGTTTAGCAAGAAAATGAAGAAAAGATGTGAAAAAATGTCTAAGACTGCTTACAAAAAAGTTTAAGTCGCAAACAAGAACAAGATAAACTTAAAATTGGCTGAAATAAATTCGAAAAGCTCAAATCATACTTGTAATGTAAAAAGAATTTTCATTGGCCCAAGACGTTGCCATGAAAACATGTAAACAACGTCTTGCAATGTGCACTGATCATCTAACACTACATTGCAGTCACTATCAACAAAGCACAGTTTGTAAGTGTCTAGCACTTCTAATTTTGCCTCCAGTAATTTCCGTAATGCACTGATTTTGGTTGCTGCCTGACAGCGAAAATATCTGAAGAATGTAGAATACAGATGCAAAGAATGGCAAAAATGAACGAACCAGAAATGCTGCAAGCATAAAGCAAAATAAATACTTTGAAAAACCATACCACTACTAATCAATAAGAAATGGAATAATTCATCAAGTGATATGAAGTACTAGATCATTATTTTGACGTTCTCTACAGCAGCTCACTTTTCAAATCGGTTTTTACCTGACTTATTGTAAACTTAAATAATTAATAATACAATCTGAAAATATGAACCTTTTAAACGATGTCAATATTGTCTCCTGCTTTTCTAAACGATCAGCATCTGCAACTGTAGACGGCTTATTCTCATCTGTCGATTTGGGAACAGCTACTTCTTCTTTATTAATTCCTTCTTTATTTTCTATTTCTTTATTTTTCTCTTTTTTACCTTCCTCTCCTTCATTTTCTTCTTCTTTGCTGCTATTCTCATCAATATCAGTGTCTGGTATTCCTGGTGATATATATTCTAGACATAATGAAATCATTTCGTCTGGGGCACAAAGTTCGGAAGCAAGTTGCAAAAGTCTCTAAAAAGTTCGCCATTATAAACTAATTTATTTACTTATAACTAATGCCCAAAGAAGATGAGAGAAAATTAAATGACCATTCAGAGTATGATTCACTATATTCTTTCATTGGAATACCTTAAAAACTTTTTCTATACAGTTTTCTATAATCATGCATAAATTAATACTTTTCAGTGCACAATGATTATCTGACTTCAAGTTATTAGGTCGTATATTAAATACAATGTTAGATATAATTCATAGTGTGCACTATAATTATAAGGATATGTGTAAAAACTAAACAACCTTGTCAAGAATTGTTGCTTTTTCATCCGGAGAGACAATTCGTTTTCTAAGAAATTCTCCACGTTGATGCAACTCTTGCCAGTAAAGGTCTGGTACCATTTTGTAAACTAACTTTTGTAGCGTATCATCACGTACAAAAGCTTCTCCAAGATCATTGCCACATGATACACCACATTTAGTACAATTATATGACTCATTTTTCTCGATATCCCTCAGCAGACAAGCGCGGCAGTCTGAAATCACAGGTAATAACAAAAGTGCGGTGAAAATTGGCAGATTACTCTCATAAGTAACTGAATGTTTAGCATGGAAGAAAAACATTGTGATGGAATTTTCTTTTGCATTTTGGCAACAAACCGCGATAGGTCCGTTTGCATACATTCTGACATTAGATTTATTATTCAGCAAAAGAATAAAAAGATGTAAAAAAATAAATGTCGAAAACTGTTTATAACAAGGTCAGAGTCTCAAACAAAAGCAAGATAAGGCTCAAATCGACTAACATAAAATCATCTTTGCATCCGACCAATGGGTGCATGAATGAGAAATGCGAAGAAAAATTTGTTAGTTGGGAAGGAGGCGAATAGCGATAATGGAAGCAGTGATTTACTTACATGAGTGAAGACATTCAGTAAGCGTGACAGCATCAATCAGATACGATTTGCATGAGGAACAGCACAAATTCTCGTTCAAATCTGTTTCACCAGCGTCTTTCATTATAGAAAACAATTCCTCTACCATTTGCCAGAAAGCCACTCAATATATTATTTCTCCTACAGGAAATGGAAAGTTCCGTGACGCCGTTTCAGCAATAATGTCCCACCTCTCCAATTATTAAAAATATTTTCAAACCAATATGCCCATACAAAACCTATAAAAAAAGGACTATATATAATATTGTAACGTTAAGATGCAAGTTAATATTTATAATAAAGCATGCCACAAAGAAATAACTGCCGGAATATAGAATGTAATAATCATTGATTACAGATGCAAAATTAGAAGACAGATATTAATGGTTATCAATGAATGACCGAAACCATAGTTGTTGAACAAAATTTAAGCTTGAATTTAATCAACTCATCACTTGCTACACTAACTGTGCAAAAGATTCCAGTCTCAGAAATAAATCTCCTGTGCAAATGCAAAACAAGTTTTAAAAGATTTACCAGAATCAGTAAAGTATGGCGGTAAAAAAAAGGAGTTACAAAAGACACAGGAAGAGAACATCGCAATCTATCTCAAAAGCAAATAACAGTGGCATAAATAAGGTAATATTTTATTGACATAACCGTACTCATCCCAGTTCTTCCCCACAAAACGTTCTTTTGTCTTCGCATTTATACTTACTCAGTAACCCAACATTTATTGCAAATATTATTTAGATCAACAATAAGGTAAATATCGAATGATCATATTGCTTTTCTATTTGCAAGCTGTTTGAAGTATCCACATCCAATTCTCATGTCCATGTTCGACTTATCACAATAATATAGAGTACTCATCAAATTTAAGTAAGCTGAGCTGCCTGACAAATACTTTTCATATACATCTACAAGTCAAAAGACAAGAATCTGAAGTAGAAATACATTTACTGTTGTGATTTCTTTGTTAAAAATTGAGTAAAATGAGATGAAGCAATCACCGGTCATTAATGTTCTGGAAATGCTTCACTGATTAAAAAGAATTAAAATCTGCTCAGGGTGCCTTCAATCGCTAGAAATCTCACATCTTAACAAACACCAGCTCATTACTCATTCATTTGGGGAGGCATATTGTTTCATACACCATTCTCCATTTTCAAAGTTTTTAAATAACTGAAAGGGACTAAAAATTCATCATCCTTTGGTCTTGCTAATGCTAAATTGAATATTTCCTTTCCATCTCGTGAAAGCAAACAATGTTAGGGAAACGACACACGCCGTTAGATTGATTGTGTAATGAACACGTTAGATTGTATAATGAACACGTGCTGCTTCTGCTATAACTTCACTATAAAGCAAAGCAATGAGTGTGCGGTTGTGCATCATGCACTTCCATTTATATTCAAATCTTTTGCCGTAATCAACAATTAGCACTCAACTTCTAATTCAAAACATACAGAGAGTGATATTAAGGTAGTCAATACAGGAAATCAGAGAAATATTTTAGATATTCGTATAACTTCACTACCTTCAGCAACCATGTGCCAAGCTCGACTCAACATTTGTGCAAAGCTCCAGGACCATCGTCACTCACCCGTCATCACAGTTCCACAATCTTTCTCACACTCTATTTCTCCTTTGCATCACTGAATAACCGGATCTTGCTGAGCTTGCAAATTTTTGGTTTTAACATTGCACTAATGGAAATGACTATTTTCTTTGACAAACACATGGCTATTTAATGTAGTTCTGCACCACTTTCCCTCCATTATTTTGTCTACAAACATATTTCTCCTCGTCACAACATTCACATGACATGTAATTGGGAAGAAAGATGCTACGTTAGCATGCGTAAAGGACTACCGCAATTATTCCAGCAGACTTAGATTCGGATTGAATGCTTCTTCTCTATTCATCTTGTCAGATACCCGCCATTTCACTCGCTCGATGTTTTTGCCACACACGAAGCACTTCACTCAACTAGATCAAAGATTCCTGCTTTCAGTACAACGCTTCACATACAAACGAACAATAAGTAAGGAAGAAGTGAATGAAGGAAATAAAATTAATTGGCAATGCAGTGATGGAAGAAACGATGGAGAGCGTTTATTTGACGCAAACAAAATAAAGGACTTATGGTAGGCAAATGGAAGTTTAGACTCTCTAGCAGAGAGAGGTGAAAAACAGCGATTTGCTTGCAAGTAGAAACAGAAATGCAGGGTAGAGACAGAGTGCTGACAGATAGATGGACAAATGAATGGATGAGAAGCGACACCATCAGGGTCAACAAAGAGTGCACGGAAGCGAAAACTCAATTTTTTCTACGAAAAAATTGGCGAAGGACAAAGGAAAAGCAGAAAGCAATCCCGCTCTTTGGATTTATTCGGATCATTCGAGGCACCACGCTATTTCTTTCGTATTCTCCTCTCCTTCGTCGGAGATCAGTTCCCGAAACAAAGTCAAAACAAATTTTTCTAGTTCCACTTCATTCATTCAACCTTGACAAAACAACAGGATACTCTCTCTTATGCAAGACTTATTTCCCCACCGTATACTTTAAAAGGAGTAGAATTAGAGGGAAGGGCAAAATTTTCTCACCATCGGTATTCAATGTCTCATTAGACAAAGGAACTCTGAAAAGCCAGCACAATCATTTTTCGACAAAAGTAAGAAGTTTACAGAACGAAAGTGAGCCATTCATACACTAAATTAGATTCTTTCTTTATGATCAGCTCAAATCCGTCCTTTTTCTCCGTTATACACATCAATCTTATCAGTTTAAAAATTGCCCATTATAAATTAGCAAACATGCGAAATATGTGCACCTTTCACTTTGACTCTGTATCTCAACGGTGCAAGCAACTCTTCATCGTGCAAAAATGAGCCCCTTATATAAATTTCGCTTCCTTGGCTCTGTCTACTATAATCTAACCTAATTAGAACTCTCCATGTGAATACTAAAACGGAAATTCATATGTATATAATACAACGAAGAAAGCAAAAACGACCACAACTGCGACTACGACCACCAGCACCACAACAGCGACAAATAACAACGCTCTCTGCCACTTAGCGGAGTGTACCCCGCAGGCAGGCGGGGCTTTGTAGTCTTTTGCTGACATTAATAGCCAATCAGAACAAAGGCCTTCTCCGTTGTGTCAGGTACAGACGACGAAACACTGTAACTCCTCATCCTGTCTTTCACACGAATCGATTGATGCTTATCTACCCCTCTGTTCGTCCCTTCTACTTTTTATTCTTCCTTCCATGCGTGTCTGTTGCTTCCCTCTCTGCGTGTACACGTTACGTCTATCTCTTCCTGTTCTATGAAGAGTGCGTGTCTCAGAGCATACGTACGTTCATAGTTGTGCGTTAGTGCGTGTCTGTTTATCTGTTCACCTGCCCGTGTCTGTGTATGCATGTATGGGACTCTTCCCTGCATTACACATTTAACTGCAAAGGCCCATCCATACCCAGCATTTGGTGTACGCGAGCCTACATATAAGTACTAATATAACGTATACGTGTACACAACGTATTTTTATGCTGTATTCGTTTAATAACACGCAAATATACAAGCACTCATACACAAATCCCACCAGTCCATACATATCCGAAAGCAGTGACTATTATACAGTAATATGACGTCAGGAATGTCAAGGAAAGAATAAGAAACAAAATCTGACAATAGAATGTTTGCAAACTAAAATAAAATATAAAATATAAAAGTTATTTGAATTTCATATTTTATAGTGAAGTTTATAATAGCGATACGTAAGTGATAAAAAGATAGACCAGAAGAAGATGTTTGGGAGTGAAGAAAATTTAGAAAAATTCTGGTGTTGGTTTTGGGAGGAAGGCAAATGAGAGTTGAGAGAGGAGCGATCGAAAACGCAGCCCCGCAGCAGTAGCATCAACAACAGCAACAGCAGTAATAGCAGCAGCAACAGCATCCATCCATCCATCCATTCATTCATTCATTCACCCATTCATTTGACACTGTATGTCAACACTCTCTATTTTTCGTCTCTCTCACTGCTTCTGCGTTTTGAACATATATTTTTCTTTTTTCGCTTGTTTGCATGTTTCTTTCTTTCTATGCATATTTATACCAGGCAAAAAATTCTTTCAACTTGCCAATATCGGCCATTTGCTCTTCCCCTTCATCTCTTGCCATCCATTATCGTTTACTTTAATTTGTCACTCCTCTCCTTCTCTGCTTCATCTCGCTTATTCACATACTCTCTAATTGAGCTAGTAAACACATTTAAATGAATTTGTCTTGATTGCAAGCTCTACTCATCATTTGTTGTATGCAGACTTCTTATATCTTTGATTATTTTAACTGTGGAATTGCTATTAAATTGGTTTACTCTACACAATTCTATCTAAAATCTGCACTGACCTCGTTTTCTAGAAAGACACGTACATCATTCAGATATGCACATGCATGTGCATATATGCACATTTTAAAATGCACACACATATAGGGACAATTGACCCGAATTCATGCACGCATTCATGCATTTATTCATTCAATCATTTACCACTTGAATACGGTAGACTCAATTATTATTACTACTCAGAGCATTATGTCCTTCCATTCTCCATTCCTGTATTAGTAACGATAAAAATCAACTTATGCACATGAACGCAGGCAAAAACTCTTCATTGCTTTCTTCAAATGCAGATAAGAAACCACATCCGCTGCGCCTCATATCCAAAGTTGATTTAATTTACTTACACTGAGCTTTCGTGAAATGCATATAATGTCACATGTAAGCACGTTTGATCTTGTATTGAATGACCATGTGATTCAAACCCTAGATTAACCACGTTAAATGCGATAAAGCTTGAATGAAACTAAGAATATATTTAAGCTGTGAAAAAGTGAAGCATTAAGAATGCCATGAATAGATGAAAATAACGCTCAAATAGTGGAAACAATAATTTAAATGAAGCGTGAAACATAAAAGCATTGAAGCTTCGAATGGTATCAGTCAAATCTAATACAATTAGTTGTCTCAGAAGATATGATTAGAAAATGAAAGAATACCTGTCAATCATCCACTTCTCTTACAATGGATGAAGATTTACTATCAAAATAGTCAGCAGATCTTAATTTCATTTTTACCTGAATGCATCCTTCATTTTATGGATACAGAAGTTTTAAATTATATTAACATTATTCAAAATACAAAAATTAACTACCATGTTTTTCATACATTAAATTGTATCAAGACTTTTTTAAACCGGAATCTTCTGAATCTGAAACCATACGCAATCTCTAAACTTTAAGAATTATGAAGAGCAAACTCCAATTAAAATCGGTAATCTTTATGATTTTAATTGAATTGGTCAATCATATGAGAGTACGCAACTCCTCCTTCCAGAAACTTTTCTCAGGTAATTTCCATGTGTTTACTTTTGTCATGTATCCTTAATTTGAGATTAGATTGAGAAAATGCTAAAATCACAGAATCATTCTGCCACATCACGATTAATAAAGGAGAAGCTATTTGATACACACTTTATTTTCATTTTCAGATTACAAAAATGAAGCGAAAACTCATTACTGTTTGAATTAGTCAATTTTTTATTTACTAGACCTTGAATGACTGATAAACACTTGTTGCTAAAGTAAAAAGTCTTATGAGCTCTCATGACCTCATTATTAATTGTTTGTTCATTATTTGGATAACTTTTGCTGTTGATTGTACCATTATTTCTATGCTATTACTACTCAATTTTTGAGGAAGTGATATTACAAATTTACGGTTAAAACAAATTAAAAACCCAAAAAAGCAAGTTTTCTTTGTTTAACACCCACAGAATAAACAATATATTTATAATAAGAGCGGAATCAGATGATCATTAAAGAAGATTAATCGCCATATTATTGCAAATTATTTCTGATAGCTTCACAAATCTGACGGAAAGTCCTGGAAAATGAGTAATGATAATTTTTGAATGCTGACACTTCTAAAATAATGGATAATGCATAGATAATCTGATTACACATTTTTTGATTTAGTCAAAAGAGCTTTATTTTATTTCGGTTCAAATTTAATTTAGTGCTGAAATATTTTGCAAATGTTTGGAGTGATTTTATTTATTCAGTCTGAAAAAGATCCATTACTGAATGTTCCAATTTTAAGACTTACTTTTTTCTTCTGTATCTTTTTATCAAATTTCTACCAAAAACAATTTGAATAGTGAAAATCTAAGGTCACTATGCATAACTTCTGTAGCATCAAGATATGTCATTACAATTTTAAACATAAATTTTCGTCTTCACAAATAAAACTCCAAGAAATTCCTATGACTATTTCGTATTTTGACTACTAAGCATTTCTATCATTTTTTGCCACTTTATGCAAATATAACGAAATTCATATTCCTCGTAACCAAATACACTTAAAACTCGTTAATTTGTTCAAATTGCTCTGTATTAAGCATTATTTATTTTCAAGAGTTCATTTAAGTTATTTATTCAACACTGTTCTCTTTATGAATTGGTATTTTTTACGACAAGCAAAATTTGTTTGTTGGTAAATTTTCAATTATACAGAAATATTTTGGTGATGTAATTTAACAATAGAAGATAAGTGGACGATTTGTAATTTCAGGCAAGCTTGAGATATAAGCTACTGGAAGTTGAAATGTTATATGCACATAGTTTTGGAAACAATTAATCCTAAATCATTCAAGTAACGACGATAAAAATTCTTCACTTAATTTCATGATATCGATAAGTATCACTAATCAACAGTTCCGAGAATCTATTATCATGCTAATGAATATATGATTTGACATATTTTAAAATAAAAGGGCATTTTTTAAAATTGCAATGGAGACTTTGAAATTTCCCGAAAATCGTACTCCGTTAGTCTTTGTTTTTTCATGAAAATTTCATGATAAAGTGTTGTTTATTGGCTTACTGTAATATTTCGATATTCATCAAATTTTCAAACACTGTTATCCAGTATAGAATGTTGTGAAACTTTAACTTTATTTATCAGTGCTGTTTAATAAAAGTAGTTTATACAGTCTACCAATTACACAATTAAATCTGAAACACTCTAAAATTACCATAGCACTTCAGCATAGCTTACAAAATACATATGAACGAAACTTTTGAAAATGAAGTTTCTATTTTTGTATTTCTCAAAATACAGTCTTTCATAATTATTAAAGGTAGAATGTACAGTAAAGATTTGCTGGAAATATAGAAGTCAATAACTGCATATTCATAGTTATTATTGCCAGTGACTGTATAAACCACTTTTATTAAAGTTGGTGATAAGTGATACTTTTGAGTTCAGTTGAAAATTTAACAAAATCTGGACGGCGTTTGGTTTTGGAATTTAAATGAAGGCAATAGTTATTGTAAGATTCATCCCTGGAAATGAAAAAAGTGTTGAATGATTCCCAGAAAAAGGAAAGCTTCCGACACTTGGTTGCAATTATAAACTCATAAAGCGACACCCATCTATCACATTTACACCTTTAATTGAACAATTAGTTCTCACTGGTACACAGCCTTCCACAACATGATTCTTGCAGCTCTAGCCCTCTCCGACAATTTTACACCTCTTTAAATTTAGCAGACAAAAAACGATTTAATGAATGCAGTCATCGTAATTTGTAAACCACCATTTATTTATTTATTCATTCATTCATTCATTCATTCATTCATTCATTCACTCATTCATTCATCAATCTATTGATTTATTTTTTCTCTATCATTGTTCATCACAACGGTTACAAGAAGGAAACTAGGAAATATAGTTGACATTTACTGTCAAAAGGAAGGTCAAAATTCGAAATATCTTCTCATTCCTCTAATTTCATTATTCAAAAATTGTTGCCTTTCTTCTACATCTATATTTTATGAAATTTTTTTGCTCATTAACATAAAGAACGATTGTTCTCTTCCTCCCAACAAAACAAGAGTCTTTGTCTTCAAAATTTATATCACTCAAAATCCGGATTACATTGACTGAGCTCCTTTCCGTTGATGAGCATCCCGTCTGACCTAATCTGTTCAGGCAGTTTTATAAGCAATTCCAACTTTTTAAGATCCACCTTCGCTAAGTATCTTATTCGCAAATTGTCTTGCCTCCCAATAACACATAAGAAGAAAGTGAATGAGCTTGTATACCCTGCTTATTTATTTTATATCTCTATGTCGACAGAGTGAAATCGTTTGATACTACTTTTGCATTTAAACATGTTCTCTTCAGGGAATTCTTTGTACGGCAGTATGATTGCAAATATAGTTTCCTTTTTTATACTTGTATATCTTCATATGTGATTCCTTTCTTGTCGTTTAAAGTGCGCGTCTTTGTGAAAATGATCATGCATGTGCACATGTGACAACCACATGCATGCATGAAAAACATTAAATGAATGAGTGGGGCCAAGATTTACAATGATAAAATACTAATGCAACTTTATACTACTATATGTTGATTTGTTTGTTCAACTGCTCATCATTTGCAGTAAATAGCTCTCATCGAACTGTCAAATCATTCAAGTTTTAACGGAGTGCTCTCCTCTCATTCACTACTTGAAATACATGCTAATTATTCTGTGTGAGACCTAGACTACTAGGCTCAAAAAGTTTGGCTGCATAAAATTTAAATAATCCATCTTGAATTTGCTCACTTAATTCTGCAACAAGCAATTCCCACTCGATCGTTAGTCATTGCTTTTTGGCCCAGTTATGCTAATTAATTTTAGGTAAATGAGGTGTTATGGAATATTTTGAATATTACTTGTAAAACTAGTATTTTGTAGCAAGCATCGTCCATTGCTACCTTCATATGAAGCTGCACCACTCGAGTGTTACTCTTCGAAATTCTGTGAGATCCCTGTGACTGAATATGCAATGAACATTGAACCATTACTTGCACTACTTTTTTCATCCCAACATGCAGCCAAACAGTTGTTTTCCTTCCATTTTC